GGGCTGGTGAGGCCTCCAGGGAGCCCTGTGACCAGGACCTACTCACAGACGAGGAAGACACTGAAGAGAGCCGCCTCTGATGCCCCAATCCCACTGGGGACACATAACAAGGAGACTCAGACCCTTCTCTAGGACATGGCTCTGTCCCCCAGGAGGAAAGGACTCCAACATACGAGGTGGCTGGAAGCTGGGCCTCCTTCAACACTGTGGCCCTCTCCTTAACAGTCTGGCCAGAGGTGAGGCAGGAATCAGATACAGCAGGCCTATAGCCTTCTCCATGCTGACGTTCTGATGCCCATTGTTCTCCCAACCTCTGAATAAGCATCTATTTGTTGAGGGCAAAAGAATATGGACTGGGAATAGGAAGGGGAGTCCTGGCCCTGCTCTACCTGTCCTAGTGTGCAACTAGCAATGCCCCTCCTGGAGCTCAGCTGCCTCACCTGGAGGATGGACCGACACCTGGAACCTCTCTACCTTTGCCCTGATGGTTCAAGTACAACCAAGCCTCAGGCCTTCCTGATCCAATCTGGCACCTCACCAGGCTTCCTGACCACATCTCCAGCCTGCCCTGAGCAGGGAGCATCGTCAGCTCCTTAGGCAGAGCCTAGCACTACCTCTGAGCTCCTAGGACAGCTGCCCCCAGGATGTCCAACTGAGGTCCCTGTTTTCTGCTCTGCCTGTGCAGGATGGAAGCTGATGTGGAAGAGCTCCTCAGCTGACGGGCCCAGGCCCTGGGGTGTAGGGCTGTAGCCGGTGGGGAGGAGAGGAGGCTGGCCTCTTGGGACCCTCCACTCTGAACCTGGCATACCCCTTTTCCTAGGCCTGGCTGGGGTACTTCCCAGCATGTACCCCACTACTCAGACTACCTGACAAGGCCAGCATCATTTTGTCTTCTGAATTTATGAGGTTTATTTATTTTTTCTCCTTTCTGCTCCTACTAAAGAAACTTGACCCAGTATTCCTGCCTAAACCTGGCCTCTGTTCGACAGCTAGGAAATGCGGACAGTGGAGGAGAGGCCCCAAAATGAAGCTGGCTGGGGAAAGACAGTGGGGCTGCACCAGGGCTAAGGTCCCTTTCAGAGCCCAGGGAAATGGCCCTGCCTCTGGGCTCGAAGAGAAATCACTTCCCCTTCTACTGGCCCTGATGCCACAGCCACTAAAAAATGTCACTCCCTCTTCTCTACTGCCCCCCCCCCATGTGGCCCTTCCTTGTTTCTGCCCTCAGGGCTGGAGCAAAAGAGCCTGGTGCTAAGGTGTCCCCACTGCTCACGGTACCATTTCCTGCCCCCTCACCACAGTCCCACATCTCACAAGGGCTGTGCACTGGCTTGGGAGAGGCAGGGTGGGGCCATTCTGGGAAGAGTTGTTTTCCTATCAGGTGGTTACAGCAGATGTTATTATCTGTGAGCACCTGTGCTTTCAGAAAATAGAGACCTCTAGAGTCCTACCAGTCCCTAGCTACAGAGTGAGGCTAGAGGCTGCTCATTCACAGGACTAAGGCCTGGCATGATCAGCCTGTTCCCACCCTCTGCACATACTGGGCACTGTTTGGGTGGGACACCTATACCCCAGAGCAGCAGCACATGCCTCGCCAGGCAGTCAGGTATCCCATCGCCCCTCCTCTCCCCGGGCCCTGGGGTAGAGTTCTGTAAGGATGATGGTCCATGCCCAACTCATGGAGACAGGAATATGGGCAAAGGCCAGAGCTGGAGCCAATGGAGTCCAGTGGGCAGCAGCCCCAGCTCTTGCCGATGACTGCCTTCCCTGCATTTCTGCCAGGGTGGATAGAGCCTGTGCTCCAGGCTGGTGCTAGGAGGCCAGATATGAGGGAGGGAACTGTGCACAAAATCCCATGAGCCCATCCTGCTTTCTTTCTTTCTTTTTTTTTTCCATCCTGCTTTCTATTCTCAGAGAAAAGGGCAAGGTGGGCCTTGAGTAAATGCCATCTCTGGGCCCAGGAAGTGAATTAATCTCTGGCCACAGGGGGAATGTACAAAGGAAGAGCAGATGCCCTCCCTCAGGCTCTGGTGCTGGGGAAAAGGCACCTGGGTTCCATCCCTGGTGTGCACCTACAGGATGGGACCAGGCTTCCTTTTTACCTTTTCCCAGAGAGAAGGGTCCCTACTCCTCTACTGATCCCATTGCTGACTCAATGCCAGGTCCCCCGCTGACTCACCCTAGTAGCTTTCTGGATCTCCCAGGCACGTGCCATCAGGCCCAACCCTGCCAAGTTGGTGCAACGTGACAGGGTGAGGAGGCTGGTGACACTTGAGAAGGAAAGAAGGGGGCCTGGCAGGGGGGGATCGGTGCAGACAGAGTGACAGACTTGCAGACTGAAGCGCCTCTGGCAGGAAGCCCTTTTGCCAGCCTGGAGCCTGCAGGGGAGAGGCTGGGCAGGTGGGAGGGGAGGAGGAGTATGGAATGCCTGCCTGCCCCCTGCCTGCCTCGGCTCCTTCTCCTGTCAGCCTTCAGCTCTGAAGCGACAGCTTCTAATTCCGGCTGTTGGTGCCTCTGTGCTCTGCAGTGAAGTCTCAGCTTTTTTCAGCTTTGCTATTTCTTTTTTGTTCAGAACACAGTGAGCCCTCTGGGGAGGGAGTCAGAGCAAAGGCTCCCGGGCTGAGACCTGGCCCCAGCACCCACCTCAATGGCTGTAGGCCTGGCTGGGTTGGCCCTACCAGCTGGGACAAACGGAAGCAGCTGTTCTTCCAAAGGGGATCTGGAACTGTCTCCATCACCACAGGGAACAGGGCTGTAAGTGAAGCTGGTTGACTCAAGGAGGCTCAGGAAAGAGGGACTTCTTAGGACTAAGGAGACTCCCACTCTGGGTTCCTGCTGCTTCGCTCCTCCACCTGGAGAGTGCACAGCCTGCACTGTCATACAGACTCTAGGAGCACCCCTACCCCAACCCTGAAAGGAGAAGGAGGAGAAGTAGCTCCTTTGTACCGAAAAAAGGAAAAATGGAAGCTGGGTGTGGTGGTGCACATTTATAATCCCAGATACTCAGGAGGCTGAGGCAGGAAGACCACAAATTTGGGGCCAGCCTAGGCAATCTAATTAGGCGCTGTCTCAAAATAAAATTTAAAAAAGGGTCTGTGGATGTAGCTCAGTAGTAGGGCACTTGGCTAGCAGGTGCAAGGCCCTGGGGTTAAATCCCAGCATCACACACACACACGCACACACGCACACACGCATGCACAATTGAATCCTAAAGGGAAAAACCTTTCTTCTGCTGAGTAAAGGAGAAAGGAACATTCTTGCCCTTGCTGGTGATAGAAAGAGTCTTGCTCCAGGCCTGGAGTGTGAGGGAGCTTTGAGGGCAATGCTCTAAATAGCATCACTGTGCTTTCCAGATCTTGCCAGTGGAATAGGCCAGGCTGGTGTTAGGGGCTTCCTCTTGAAGATAAGAATGGGCAGGCCTGGGGCCACACTGCCAGCGCGGCCCTCTAGGCTGGGACTTTACATACCATGCCCTTTCTAGACATCATGAAGACAAAAATCACAGAGGAAAAAGGGGCTTCACATTGTTGGTTTACATTGTATGGCCAGAGGTCACAGAGGAGTGGGAGCCCCTCTGCAACTCCCCCTATCCCTCAAAGATGGGCAACCCTGGAGCCAGGGGTGGGGTGGAGCAGCAAGCACTCTCCAAGCCCCAGACCTTTCCAAAGAGGTGTCTAGCAAACCATGTTGTTTTTGTTCTGCCCAAGCTGAGGCCACTTTGATTCTCTGAATTTCCTGTCTCTTATGGGAACACCTAAGCAGCCCTCCACGCTGTCCCCCACAGGCGATTTTCCTGCTGTCGAGGCTTTGCCTCCTCCTCAAGCCCCACCTGGAATGCCTTCCTCACTTCTTACTAGCTGATCTCACTCATCTTTAAAGGACCAACCCTGTCCTACCTTCAGAAGACCCTAGAGCCCTCCCCTCCCCACTTCCCTATCTTTCTTCCCCTCCTGGTTCTGTATGTAGCTGATGTCCTCAACCCTAGAGCAATAAGCCGAACTTGTGTCCTGGGCTAGGCCTGGTTTAGAGGGGAGGGCTCTGTCATCCAGAAGCCAGCTTCTACCTCTATTTCCCACGCCAGGACCTGATGCTTGCTTCAGTTCTTCACAAATATCCATTTGACCTTAATCACCCCTTCTCCACCTCCCGTGGCTCTTGTGGAGCCCTTACTCCCCTCACCCCGCCAGTGAGTATCCTCCCTCTCCAGGGCCATGCAGCCAGCAGTCTGAGAAGATGAGATGTGGTGGTTTTCTCACGTAGTTAATGGAAAATGGATCTCCTGCTCGACTCTCTCCAGGGGTCAGTCAGGGTCAGGGCCAGAGCCCTGTGGCCTCGAAGTGATTTGGGGCTTGAAACTGGCCAGCTCTTCGGGGAATTCTTGTTTTCCTCCCTGGCTCTTTCGGGATAGCGGCCTGTCCTGAGGAGCTGGGGAGCTGGGCTGGCGAGTCCCAGCGCCCAGCAGCGGTCCTAGGGTCCTAAGGCGCCCGCCCTGGGTCTCAGCGGCGGAAGCGTCTGCGCCTCGCCTGCTCCGCAGCCGCCCCCGGGAGCGGGCCGAGGGCTCATTGTCAGGGTTGGAGACGTCTGAAATTGGAGAGCGCACGCCCTTCCCGCTCCAAGCGAGCGTGTGCGGGGGGCACAGTTGTGTGTGACTGCGTGATGCGCGGCACTTCGGGTAGCAGCTCCCAGCCAGACCTAGCCCGCTCCCGCAGCACGTATGCCTACTCCCCCAAATTACTCCTCATCTGCTTTTCGATACCCCACCTCCCGGCTCGCTCCTGGTCCAGTTCTGCCCTCGTGAGGTCCCATTTCCTTTCACCCCGGACAGCGTGACGCAGCTCTCTGTTTTCCCAGACGAGCCTGCGGTCCCCCCAGTTTCTAAGGAGCCGAGGGCCCGGACTCAGGTGTGGGCGGAGGGCGGGGAGAGAAGACTGCGACCCTGGGATTGGCCCGGTCGGGTGCATGTGGCCCCCCCGCGAGCAGCCCCCGCCCCCGCCCCGCAACCGCCGCCGCAATCCCAGGGGAGCGCGGAGGAGGAGCTGCTCCCCAACTTCGTGGCCCACGGAGGGGTGGGGGTCAGAGGCGGGCTCCTCCGCCCCGAAGGTCTCTGCCCTGACGGCGCAGGCTGCTTCCAGGGGAGCCATTGCCATGGAGACCCCTGAGGCTATAAAGGCAGGTATTCAGGTGGACTGCAGCTCCCCCGCCGCTGAGTCCCCCAAGTAGGAAGCAAGCGCCCTGGCGGGGCCCGGCCCCCGCAGGAGAGAAGGAGGCGGAGGAACGGCGCCTGCAGCTTGAGGAGCGGCGCGCCCCGCCAAGGGCTAGAGGCTGGCGCGCGCTGCGGGCGCCACGGTCTCAGCAGGGAGCGGGGACTGCCCCGGGTGCGGGTGTGCGGAGCGGCTCCAAGCCCCGAGGGACGGAGGGGCGCTCGACCGGGGAAAACGTCCGGAGACTCAGGAGGAGGCCGAGCTGGGGCTCCCGTCGTCTCGTTGCGGGCCAGGAGCGGAGCCCGGAGTAGCAAGCAGCCCTCACTTCTAGCCGGGAGGCCCACGGAGGGAGCAGCAGGACGCCAGGCGTGCAGCCAGAGTGGCGCGGGAACAAGAGGCGCTGCGCGACCCGAGCAGCGACCTAGGGACCCTCGACCGCAGCGCCCACGCACAGAGGGAGCGGTTCCTGGGCGCGGGAGCCGGGGCGCCCCCCTGCGGAGCTGCCGGGCGGCCCGAGAGCGGCGGCAGGAGCCATGCTCAAGCCCAAGGACCTGTGCCCTCGAGCGGGTACCCGCACCTTCCTGGAGGCAATGCAGGCGGGCAAAGTGCACTTGGCCCGCTTCGTGCTGGACGCGCTGGACCGCAGCATCATCGACTGCCGTGCAGAGCAGGGCCGCACGCCGCTCATGGTGGCCGTGGGGCTGCCGGACCCCGCCATGCGCTCCCGCTTTGTGCGCCTGCTGCTGGAGCAGGGGGCGGCGGTGAACCTGCGGGACGAGCGCGGCCGCACCGCCCTGAGCCTGGCCTGCGAGCGAGGCCACCTGGACGCCGTGCAGCTTCTAGTGCAGTACAGCGGCGACCCCGAGGCCACCGACTCGGCTGGCAATAGCCCCGTGATGTGGGCGGCGGCGTGCGGCCACGGAGCAGTGCTCGAGTTTCTGGTGCGCTCCTTCCGCCGCCTGGGCCTGCGCCTGGACCGCACCAACCGCGCGGGCCTCACGGCGTTGCAGCTGGCCGCCGCGCGCGGCCACGGGACCTGCGTGCAGGCGCTCACGGGCCCCTGGGGCCGGGCCGCAGCTGCCGCGGCTGCCCGGGGTTCCAACTCCGACAGCCCCCCAGGCCGCCCGGCCCCCGCGCCGAGCCCAGAGCGTCGACGACCCAGCCCACGCCGCCTGCCGCGGCCTCTCCTGGCACGCTTTGCTCGAGCGGCGGGCGGACACGGCCACGGCCATGGCCACAGCGGCGAGCCCGGCCCAGCGGGCAAGGGCTCGGGCCGGCACCGGGCACCGGGCGGTGAGCGGCCGGAGCTGGGCCGCAGCATGAGCCTGGCTCTGGGAGCCATGACCGAGGAGGAGGCGGCACGCCTACGGGCGGGGGCCCTAATGCGACCAAACTCACCCCAGTCTGCGGGGACCGGGCGGTGGCGTTCGCAGGAGGTGCTGGAGGGAGCGCCCCCAACCTTAGTGCAAGTCCCCATCGGCCTTAGTCCCCACCCGGAGGGCGGACCTGGCTCTGGCCGCCTGGGTTTGCGCCGACGTTCCACAGCCCCAGACATCCCCAGCCTGGTCGGGGAGGGTTCGGGACCCGAGAGTGGCCCAGAGTTAGAGGCCAATGCTCTGCCCCTCTCGGTCCCCGGGCCCAAACCTTGGCAGGCGGGGACCGAGGCTGTAGTGCTGCAGGCCCAGCGGTAAGCGGCAAGGGCCGAGCTCCATTCATTTCCGTCCTGACTCCGCTGTAAGGGCCCTCACTTTCTCGCAGTCTACTCCCCCACCACACACACTTTGGAACCTGTCCCCACTACCAAAGCGAGACCTCCACCAGTCCTCCACCAGAAGTAAGAAAGGGACCCCACCTCCTCTGTGTTCTTTGCTCTAGCCGGTCTGGTCTAGATCCCTTACCCTCCCTAGGACTTGCCTTTCCCGTGCCTGGAAGGCTCCTCTGTTGGCTTCCACTTTCCATTAAGGAAGGTGAACTTGAGGCTCGTCTGCCTAGGTTACGGGAGGCTGCTATCTGGACCCCTTCCTCTTGCTGAGTTTCCCAGCACCTGGCAGCCAGGCAAACAGAAGAATTGCCTTTTCAAAGGCCAGGCCCCTAGGCTGGGGATAATGATGCTAATGCAACGAACTACCAGTCTCCCTCTGGCTAGGCTCAGTGCTCCTAGGAGAGGATCCAGGACCTCTCTGGATAGGAGGGGCTGATGGGGAAGGAATCTGGTAGTCAAGTTTTTCCAGGGTAGAAACTCCTGCTTCAAGACAAAACATTTTGGGGGTGGCAGAGCTTCTGGCGTCGGTCGCCAGTTGTCCCTTGCACCAGCTTCTGGGTAACAAGCTCCCTGTGACGATATGGGGTCATGGCTCCCCCAGACCCCTGACCAGCCGGCCTGTTCCTCAGCTCCGATGCATTTGAATTCCATCTTGGTGGGTCAGCCAGTCATTCCCTGCAGGCCCAGCCTTAATTCTACGCATTTCCTTCCCAGAGGCTCGAAATGGAAGGGACTTAACACCCCCCCACCCCGCCTCCCAGCTCCCCCGATCCGCACGTGGGTGCTCGGGCAGGGTGGAACGGTTGCGAAGGCTTTTTACTTAATTGCATTTCTTCCAACCCTCAAAGAATTCGTGTTTCGAGGCTTTGTATATGAAGCTGAAAGCAGCGGGTCTGATCCGAGGCTTAAGAATCTGACAATGTCTCTTTAAATAGAAGCTCCACGAGGGGGATAATTGACTGAAGTGTTTGCGACGTTAACCGGCGGCGCGCGGGAGTCGCGAGCCCACACGAGCCGCAGTCTCGATTTAAATTACATCGGACTCCGGTGAGAGCTGACAGGGGGCTGTTCAGCGTCTCGTGCTCCTCGCTGGGCTGTTAATGGAGGGCAGGGCGGATGGGGGAGGCCGAGACCGAGGACCCCTGCCTCTGCCCGGCCGCGTGGGACGCAGGCCTGGCCCCGCTTCCAGCTTTTATTACCGGGCAGATTAGTGACTCAGAGGCACCTGCGGAGAGGCGGTTAATAGGCCTCTGCTGGCCGCGTCTTTGTCTCCTCCTCCCGCCCCCGCCCTCCCACTCTGTTCCCGCCTAGCGAGGGGGCGGGCGTAGGGGAGGTGACAGATCGCGTGCGCTAGGACCCCGCGGACGCTGCTCGGGTGTCTGCGCCCGGCCCACGGGGTGGCGGCAGGTGGGGGCGCTTTGTGAACCCCGAGCTTGGAGCGTGCAGCCCCCCTCGCCAGCCTGCGACGTCGTCGAGGTATTTGTCTGCAGAACGGAATGTTCTCGCCAGTAACTCCAGGGAGCGGCCCACAGCTGGAGTGACCCTGCCAAGTTAGGGCTCCGCCCAGAGCGGTCCCCGCGCCCGGTGCCCCTGCACCCTGGACGTGATTCTCCGTGCCCCCGGTGGCCGCCAGCGTTCTCTCTGCGCCCCGGCTCGGAGCCCAGCCTTCTGGTTTTTGGGGATCACTATTGTGTACTTCTCCCTCCGTGTGCATTTACCATGGACATTCCCCTTCCTCTTGTAGAACACTAAATCCAGATACTTGAAGTCACTTCACAGCAGAGAAGTGTGGGACAGCAAACCAAAAAACGCTCATTGAGTGAACCCCAAATTAACACTCAAGTTAAGGCTCCCTGTCCAGGGAGCTCCTTCTGTCTTCTGAAAAAGCTGGCGCTTCCAGTCCTTCCCGGTGGTTTCTGAACACTGAAACCTGCCAGTTACGCGCGGTTTTCTTATAATAACTTTTCTTTTCTGAAATGTTCTGCCCTTTTTCTCTTTGCCCCAAACATCTGCTTGTCCTCTGTCCCGAGTCTGGATGATGGGTGGCTGATATCAGAGCTCCTGAAAACCCTGACTGAGAGTCATGGGTAGGTGGGGGTAACTGGACACTCCACACCAAACTGCTTCTTTGCTTGCTCATTTACTGCCTTTTCAACTGTGCTTAATGAAGTTGTTAATAGTGTTAAAATACAGGTATTTTGGCTTGAAACAGCCCGAGGTCTGAGTCACACATTGCGTCAGAGGCTCCGTCAGTCTTTCCAGGGCCATGGACATTTCCGGTGAATGTCATCCTCAGCTCACTCTGTTGGAGAACCAGCTCTGTGGAGTGACCTAGAGCTTAGCGGTCGGGTTAAAATGTTTCTAAAAAAACTTCGGCTCTTTCCTGTCGGAACCAAGCTGTGTGTCTGACTGTCCTGCTGTCTTACAGACACCTTGTTATGGGCCCAGCTCGATGTAGAACTCCACTTCCTCACACTCCGCCGCCCTAAACCTCCTGTCACTGCCAGGCCTAGGGCACTGAGGCTGGAGTCCTCTCCAGGTAGAAGAGATTTGAAAGATTGCTAAGCAATTTGTTCTTCCTACTCATTGCTTTCATCATTGTGGAGAGAAGCTCAGCACTTGTCAGCGTGGGAGGCTGAGGGACATAGGCACACCCTTTTGGAGGGATACCGTGTGGTATAAGGACTAGTGGAACTCAAGAGAAGAGCTAATAAACCCAGTATTATTCCGTTGTGAGAACTGGCCTCTCTTTGCCTTATCACCCAGTCCCGCCTCGTGGCTCCCTTTGAGGGGATGGAAGGATGCTCTTGCTTTTTACTGTGCAAGTTGCTTGTCCTTGTCAGCCCCATCCCTGGCTCCTGAAGGCCGCAGGACCAGCACTGTTATCTGATGCAGTGATGTGGGGAGCAAGGGTGAGGTCTGCATGGCCCTCTGCTCCTGGCCGAAAGATGTCCATGAACCCTGGGCTGGGTGTAGGTCTCAGGAAGGGAGGTCTGGAGTCCAGGTCAGGGTAGAAGTTGAAAGGCAGCTTTCCCCACCTCCCAGCCCACCACTAGAAACCCACATTTCTTGGTTTCCAGCCATGTCTCTGTGTCATCCCCACGCTGTACTCATTCAGTTCTGAGAAATGGAATGGATTGCTTTCACTGGCACCCTGAGGTCTAGGGCACGAGAAGCCAGTGCGGAGGGGCTGATGCAGAGCACTTGAGGTCATCCCCTGAAGCTTTCCTGCTGGGCCCTTCTCCCTCCAGGAAGGAGCCCTGTTTCTCATCTGCTTCAGTCCCAAGGGCCTTTCACTTCCTGTTTCCCTCTTTCTCTGTCCTCATTTTAGGCCCACACTGTCAACGGAATGTGGGTGTTCTGAGGACTCCAGTGACCCAGGCTGGGCCCACTGGAGACCCACTCCAGGTGTCCAGGTCCAAGACAGTCCAGTTCCAATCCCAGAGATACCAGGAAGCCGAGATTTGAACACTCAGTTTAATTTAAAACAGGCACAAGTGCAAACAATTCACAAAAATTTCTAGGGAAGATGCTTTTGTTTTTAAAACTTTGACCTTTTAAAAAAAAGTCCTTGCAATTTCTTTGCCCTGAAGCAGGCCACAAGGGGACAGAGGAATCTAAAAATATGATCTGGATTGGGTACAGACACCTGGGTACTTCCCTCAAATTCCCTGTCCCACAACACAGCCTAAAGGGGGGGGGGGGGGGACAAGGTGGCAGGTGTCTGCAGAGGCAGCTAGGACAGCTGGTTCACACAAATGGGGTGTTCATTCCTGCAGCGAGATGAAACCCCAGGCAGTGGTTCACCTTCTGCCCCAGGCTGGGATTCTAAAGAGAAGGACAGGCCCTTGATGACCTGGCTAAAAGATGAAGGTGACAGGTAAAGCAGAGTTTCTTTCTTTATCTCCCAGCTCTGGGTCTCAGACTCCATGGTATACAGAACCTCAGAAGCCTCACAAGTACCCAGCAAGAGTCAGACTCCATATAGACCCCTCTGCTGGCTGGGGAGAAGTATGGGACTTGAGCAGTGGGGAGCCAGGCCAAAAAGCAGGTCCTTCAGAGTGGAGTTTGGTGGGAGAGGGGACAAGGTAGCCCTCCTAAAGCTGGCTGTGGGTAACTGAAGGGACCGGGCTGTTGGGGTGACCTTCCTTCCCTTACATGGTGTTCTCTCCAGACTATAAAGTGAGGCCACTTGTACCACTAATCCCATTCTTTCTCTTTCACTCACAAAATGTCCCCACCTCTCCCACGGCCAAGGAGCAGGCCACCTGCAGATGGAAGCAGGCTGTGGAGGGAGGGTGGTTCAGGGGCACAGGAGCAGGTGTGGGGAAGGGGAATGCCTGCAGGAAGTCAGGCCAAAAGAGGAAGGAGGATTTGGGTAATAAAAACCTTCCCGGGGCCCTCTGGGATGCCAAGGTTTGAAGATGGAGCTGACAACAGCAAGTATTCATGTGAGGATGGGCAGCTGGCCCTCTGGGGAAGCCCAGAATGCTAGTGTACTACTACTCCCTTTAAAAAATCCACAGCAGCCTGTTCTGCTGTGCTAGCCATAGAGGCCAGGGTGCTGGTCTCTGAGTTTCTTAGAAATATCCCTGTGCAAATAACAAGGGGTCATCCTGCAGAAGGGGGTCTCTGTCATCCCGAAGGAAGCAGGGACTCTGGGGAGGAGAGAGGCCACGGGGGCAGGTCCGGCCTGGCCCAGTGGGCCGAGGGGTAGGGGAGTAGGGGTGGGCCTTCACATTCAATCTTTGGAGAGAATACTGAGAGAACGAGGCAGGCAGGCCCTGCCAGCAGGCTGGCTGCCCAGTGTCCCTGCCTGCGGGCACAGGCGGCAGGTGCACTTTGAGGGCGGGCTCAGCAGGTGGAGGTCTGCTTGCGGTAGAGCTGAATCAGCGGCACCAGGCACTCAGGCAGCCCCATCTGCAGCAGGAAGGGGTGATCCAGGAGCTCCTGGGCCGTGGCTCTCTCCTGGGGCTCCCGCACTAGCATCCGTTCCAGGAAGTCTCGAAGCACTGGAGAGACCTGTGGAGACAGAGCCGTAAGAGGAAGCCATGGCTTGCAGTCCCTTTAGGGGACCTCACTGGCCCCATCATTGAAAGTCTTGTATTCTCTGGTTTCTTCCAGTTCTTCCCAGGCTCATAGGACTTGCTGGATTATCAGGTAGGTAAAGGAGGGTGCACCAGCCCAGGAACAGTGGGCACCTCATTTGTACTAGCAGCTGCCAAGCAATGGAATTAAGATGTTTGGAAGTCTGAGGAGCTGGGTTCCACATACACCCCACTCCCCCCAGCCTGTCTCAGGGCTCTGGACTCCCCCTCATCTCAGGGCCAGTGGTGCAGGTGCCAGGGGTCAGTTGTCTTGGAAGACTGGTGTTGGGGTGAGGGTCAGGATTAGTGTTATAAGCTTTGGGGTACCCTGTTTTGGGGCTTCAGGTACCCTCACTTTTGGGTTGGGCTCCCCAACTCTGGTGTCAGGGTGATGGTTAGGGCACCCTGGTATTGGGGTTCTGGGTACCCTGTTTTGGCCTGTTTCCTGTTGGTCCTCCAAGCCAACTGTCTTGGGACCACAGAACTATTTTGCCACTCAGGCTAGGTCTCAACCCTCTGGGCTATTTTGTGCACTGGCCACCAGGTGGCAGTGCTGTCTAGCAGTCTTATGCAGACCAACCGAGCACAGCAGGGGTGACCACAGATAAGGGCTTAGGGTTTCGAGTGGGGTTGGCAGAAGAGGGTTAAATGTCACACACACACACACACACACACACACACACACACACACACACACACAC